TTTGTATTTTTAGTAGAGTTGGGGTTTCACCATGTTGGCCAGGCTGGTCTGGGCCTCCTAAAGTGCTGGGATTACAGGCATGAGCCACCTCGCTTGGCCTAGGGCATTTGATAGATTAGCTCCACCCCGCCAAGAACTACAAACCAAAACAATCTCTCCACCTCTGTGTCAGAAATAAACAGTGAGGCAAGAGGTCAAAGCCTTTAGGGAAAAAAACCTCTCCTCTTGGAAATCAGAGCAATAGAACCAAACACGTTTCCATCTAGCAATTATATTAAAGATTTTAAACAGAACACCATTTGGACCAATAAAGAGGCTTGATTTATGTTTAAATATACCACTTTGGATGCTGGGTGGAAAATAAACTGGACAGGGACAAGTGTGGAAGCAGGGAACATAATCTATCCCATTAGGATGGACTCATAAATCTATTGGATGCTTCTGGCTGCAAATAAAGAGAAATTCAGATTCAAGCTAGCAGATTTATCATCTCAAATAACTGAAAGTCCAGGGGTCAGGTGAGCTTTAAGTGTGGTACAATCAGCAGCTCAGTGACATTATCGTGATCTTCATGTCTCTTTTCTTCACTGTCATTGGTGTTGTCTTCGTCGTAAGGCAATTTCATCTCATGATTTTAAGACAGCTACCAATAACCACTGGGGCTACATATTTTCATGTTCACATATTTCAATTTTAAGATATAAAACTTCTTTCGTAATTATAGATATAATTACTTTACTTGAGTCTAATTGTGCCCAGTTTGATCACTTGCCCACCATGGGGACAATATGAATCATCAGGAAAACTTCAAGTGCTGATTAACTTATGGTAATCCACCCCTGGAGCTACAAATGAAATCAGCTTCCATATGCTTGTATGGAGCAGAAATGGATACCTTAATAAAAGTAAAGATCTTGGCTGGATGTGGTGGCTCACGCCTGTAATCCCAGCACCTTGGGAGGCTGAGACAGGAGGATCACGAGGTCAGGAGTTCGAGACCAGCCTGGCCAACACAGTGAAACCTCGTCTCTACTAAAAATACAAAAAATTAGCTGGGTGTAGTGGTGTGAGCCTGTAATCCCAGCTACTTAGGAGGCTGAAGCAGAAGAACTGTGTGAATCTGGGAGGCAGAGGTTGCAGTAAGCTGAGATTGCACCATTGCCCTCCAGCCAGCCCAGGGGACAGTGCGAGATGTCTCAAAAAAAAAAAAGTTCTTATAGGAAGAAAGAAAAGGGGACTGGTGATTCAGTAAGAACTCAATAGATGTTTGCTATGTCTCTCTTCTCTAAGCTACACCATATTTAGGCTCTTTTAATTACAGTGAGGCAAAGCATAAAATAACAAAATGGCTGGGTGTGGTGCTCACACCTGTAATCCCAGCACTTTGGGAGGCTAAGGCAGGAGGATTGCTTGAAGCCAGGAGTTTGAGACCAGACTCTACAAAAATTAAACAAACAAACAAACAAAATAAACACCAAAACACCAAGACCAATCAAAGAGTTTTATACTCCTTTTATTCTCTATCAAATGCAATTCTAAGCAATGTCCAGGTACTATCCAAACAGCTTCCAGCCCTCTGCCAAAGGTGGAATTCTTCAATCATGTGAATAGTACTGAGTCCTGATGTTTGTGTGGCTTATCTCGCCAGGGGGAGGGTAGATACAGAGAAGTTGTTCTTTTACCCTATGGCCAAACCTCTGCAAGGACAATAGGGCAAGTGAATTTGCAGAAAAATAGATGATCTAGTCTTTTATTATTTTCCCAGGATGAAGCTGGGGAAAGGGGTTGTAGGTTTCCTTTATCAATGTGGTTATGAAGGGGCATGAAAGCTTGGAATTTTTCATTTAAGAGTAATAGTCTAATCCCAGCACTTTGGGAGGCCAAGGCGGGCAGATCACGAGATCCGGAGATGGAGACCATCCTGGCCAACATGGTGAAACCCCATCTCTACTAAAAATACAAAAATTAGCTGGGCATGGTGGCACACGCCTGTAGTCCCAGCTACTCGGAGGCTGAGGCAGGACGATGGCTGGAACCCAGGAGGCGGAGGTTGCAGTGAGCCTAGAGCGCGCCACTGCACTCCAGCCTGGCGACAGATTGAGGCTCAAAAAAAAAAAAAAAAAAGTAATGGTTTGCTAATTCCATTATTTCCAATAGATAGAAAAAAAAAATTGGTCAATGGGCAAGTTGAGGAGTCTCTGGGCCCATGTAAAGTATGTTCCTAAGGTCTCCTACATGAAAGATGGGAAACTACAGCAGTACGAGCAAGAAATCCTGGTGGCTTCTAGAATAATGATAAGAAAGATGGAGAGATGTGGACTAATTCAAAATGTATTTTGGAATAGAATCATAATGACTGGATGCTATATCAGATACAACAATAAAGAAAGGAGCGAAGGCCAGGTGCGGTGGCTCAAGCCTGTAATGCCAGCACTTTGGGAGGCCGAGACTGGCGGATTACGAGGTCAGGAAATCGAGACCATCTTGGCTAACACGGTGAAACCCCGTCTCTACTAAAAAATACAATAAAAAAATTAGCAGGGCGTGGTGGCGGGCGCCTGTAGTCCCAGCTACTCAGGAGGCTGAGGCAGGAGAATGGCGTAAACCCGGGAGGCGGAGCTCGCAGTCAGCTGAGATGAGGCCACTGCACTCCAGCCTGGGCGACAGAGCAAGACTCCGTCTCAAAAAAAAAAGAGAAAGGAGAGAATAAATGACTCCTAGATTTCTGGTTGAAACATTTAAGTAGATTGTGGTGCCATTTTCGGAGACAGGAAAGATCATAGGAAGTGCAGGTTAGTAAATATAGTCAAGAATCTCAATTCAAATAACGTAAATTTGAGACGCATGAGAGATCTCTAAGTGGAAACACCAATAAGCAGTTGGATAGACTAATATTAAGAGTCCTAACGAGAGGGAGACCTGGCATGGAGACACAGAAGATATAGAAACCGCCCAGCCCCTCTCCCTACTCTCCCATCCATAGCTCACTTTTAAAAGTGAGGGCACACTTCTGCATGGGAGACTGCATGGCTCTAATAGTCTCATATAACAGGGACAGCCAGAGGAGGAAGTCTGTATATCAAGGCATATGTTGCCTCACCCACAGGAGCTCCAGTTTGTGACCATGGCCAGACTTTGCCTTGCTTCATCAACTCCTGTTCAGCAGACCGAAGTAACTTTTCACCATCCCCAGGCTATGATGGCAAAAGGGCTTTGTATATACTATTATTATATAAATTGTATATACTATTATTATACAAATTGTATAATTTTTTTAAGTTGTATTTCTGGATTTTCAGTTGTTAAACAGAATTTATTTTCTATTTTGACCTTGAATCCTGAGATTTTTTTTTTTTTTGAGACAAGGTCTCACTCCGTCATCTAGGCCGAGTGCAATGGCGCGATCACAGCTCACTGCAGCCTCTACCTCATGGGCTCAATCGATCCTCCTGCCTCAGCTTCTTGAGTAGCTGTGACTACAGGTATATGCCACCATGCCTGGCTAATTTTTCTATTTTTTGTAAAGACAGGGTCTCACTATGTTGCCTAGGTTGATCTTGAACTCCTGGGGTCAAATGATCCACCCACCTTGGCTTCCCAAAGTGCTGGGATTACAGGCATGAGCCAGCAGCCCCTGATCACATCCTGAGATTTTCTAAGTTCACCTATTTATTATGATCATTTACCTATAGAATCTTGTTTCCTATATATACAATCATATTGTCTGTGAATAATGGTTTTATTTCTTCCTATCATTTTTTCATTTTTAAAAACTGAGACATAATTTACATACTATAAAATTCACCCTTTTAAAGTGAACCCTTTAGTGGTTTTTATTTAGTGTATTCAGAAGGTTATGCAACTATCACTACTCTCTAATTCTAGAAAAATTTCATCATCCAAAAAAGAAACTCTGTACTCATTAGCATTGACTCCTTACAGTTCCTGGCAATCATTAATCAACCATTTCCTGAGGCATCAATTTTGCCAAAATTCATTTACTAAATAATCATTGTGTAGTTATTATATGCTATGCACTGTTTTAGGCATTAACGATTCAATATGAAACAAGACGAAGTTCTTCCTTTTGAGGAGAAAAATACAACTTAAAACAGTGTTTTGACAATAAAAGAAGCTCAGATATATAATGGCTTAGGATGCAAAAATTCATACATTTTTACAATAAAATATGGAACTTCAAGGTAATTTCCTGTTGGACCACATACTGCAAGCTCTGCCCCAGCCCTGTGGTGATATGCTTTCATTCTCCTTCCCGGCTGCAGCCAACATGAGCACTTTATAGGAAAAGGCTGAGAAACACTGCTATAATGTTCATCTGTACAATGAAGGGATATACATACAATGATTACAGGTTGAATCAGTAAACCAAAGGCTTGATTTCTAGCTTAGGCATAAATATTGCCCAATTATTTATTAATTATAAATTGGTATACAATGGCTTCATCCATCCACTGAACAAATATTGAGTGGGTTTCTCATTAATACATGACGAAAGACATAAAAATATGTAAGATACATGGTCCTGATCTTAAAAGCTTTACTCAAATCACTAGATATATAAGAAAATATAATAATATATGAGAGTTTTGAATCACACATAACAGGCAAATTGCTTCTGGAAAATAGGAAAATTCTTCCATTATGCAATTTGTCCATTTTGTAAACAAAATGAAACACTTTATAAAAATGTTCAGCCTGGTGTGATGGCTCACAGATTGCCTGAGCCCAAGAGTGTGAGCCTGCAATGAGCTGTGATTACACCTTTGTATTCCGGCCTGGGCAACAGAGAGAGACTATATCTCTAAAAATGAATAAATAATAATTAAATAATAAATAAAAATAAATAAAATACTCATGTCAGCCTGGAACTTACACTTGGATCACCTGTCTCTAGTATCTGAAAATATACCTAGATATCAAAAAAGGAGTTGAATTAATCTATTATCCAAAGTAAATTACAAGTAACTGTACTAACTTACTTTTCAGTGCCTCATTCATTTGTGCCTTGTGGTTAGCTGCATGATACCAGGTGATTTCAGCGCCATCTTCTGCTGTAATTTGGCTATTTCTCAGAAAATACTCCAGTATATTTTCACTCCAAGATCCTAAAATAACAGTATTTACATGTAAATTAATATTGTTTTTTATAGGATAAAATTTTTAAAATTAATTTTGTTGTATATATTTAAGATACACATATGCTGTTATGTGATATAGATAGATAGTAAAAAGGTTACTATAATGAAGCAAATTAACATATCCATCATCTCACATATCTATTTTCTCTGTGTGTGGCAAGAACAGCTAAAATCTCGTTTAACATGAATCCCTTATATACAGTACAATCTGGAGTCCTCATGTTACACATTAGATCTTGACTTGTTCATCTTTTTTTTTTTTTTTTTTTTAACTTGAGAGCAGGTACTGTTTATTAACCAACCAACTTAGAAAAATAATCATGGTAGACATCTTAGTTCATTCTTCTAATAAGCCTGTTGATCTGGTCCTCCCTGCTGCCAGCATCTCTCCCTTCTACAAAATGGGTGGTCTCTCAGCTAGGTGCAGTGGCTCACACCTGTAATCCCAGAATTTTGGGAGGCTGAGGCAGGCAGATTACTTGAGGTGAGGAGTTCGAGACCAGCATGGCCAACATGGTGAAACCCCGTCTCTAACAAAAATACAAAAAAAAATTAGCCAGGTGTGGTGGCACACGCCTGTAATCCCAGTTACTCCAGAGGCTGAGGCAGGAGAATCAATTGAACATGGGAGGCGGAGGTTGCAGTGAGCTGAGATCACGCCACTGCACTCCAGCCTAGATGACAGAGCAAGACTCTTGTCTCAAAAATAAAATAAAATAAAATAGAATAAAATAAAATAAAAAATGGATGGTCTTTTTCTCCATTCCACCTCATGGATAAGATAATTTGAAGGCCCACAGGAAGTTATTTGCTTCTCTGAAGTGTTTTCCAACAGTATAGATCTCATGAATCAGATCTTCCATGTAGATGATGCCGTATTTACCAAGAGATCGAGCAATCAAAGTGTTATCTGTTAAAACAATTCGCTTCTTATTGATTTTGCCATAACCACACTTGTAGATTACTGACTTCAGATTTGGGTATCCCCAAGCAATATATGGTTCTACAATCCTCAGCATGTTAACTGAAGCCTGTTGAGCTTCACAAAGGTTCCAATGAAGATTTGATGAAGGCGAAGAAGCTGCAACACCTTTTGGACCTTTGGGCTCACACCACTGACACCTCTGATCCTGAAGACAAATGCCAATTTGGGTTTTGCAGGTACACAGAAGTTGCCAGCTTTTCTTGCCATCCCTGCCATTCGAATTTCAGTTCTGTGTATCTGCCTATATTCCTTGAGACAGTGCTTTGCTTTTTCATAGATAAGCTTCCTCCTTGCCTTTTGAAGCATCTTTTGGTCAAACGTCTTTCTCAGGCACTTGATCTTCAGCTCTGCAAAATTCCTTTGCTTTTTCTTAAGGGTTTCTGGCACAGCAGGAACCTTCTTGTCTTCCACACCTTCCACGGTTCCAGCCAGAAAAAGAGGCAACTTGCTCATCTTACATATCTGTTCTGTATCCTCTAACCTACATCTCCCCATTTCCTCTGTGTCCCTCCTCCCCGTAGCCATTGTTTTGTCATCTATTTCTGTTATATTTGATTTTTTAATTCCAGATATAAGTGAGATCATGCACTATTTTTCTTTCCGTGTCTGGCTTATTTTACTTAGCATAATGTCCTCCAGGCTCATCTATGTTGTGGAAAATGGCAAGTTCTCATTCTTCTTTAGGACTGAATAATATTCCATTTTATCTGTGTACCACAGTTTATTTATTCACTCATCTATCAACAAACACTTGTTGTTTCCATACCCTGGCTACTGTAAATAATGCTGCAATGGACATGGGGGTGCAGATATCTTTACAAAGTGGTGATTTCATTTCCTTTGGGTATATGACCGGGAAAGGGATTGCTGAGTTATGGGGTGGAAAAAAAATTTAATAAAGCACAGACAAGATATTGAGGGATAATAACAAAGTAGTTAGACTGGGAAAAATATAAGATTTTAAAAATAGAGAGCAAGTATTATGATGTGGCAAGTATGTAATATAAACATGTTATATATTATAATTAGTAGACATATAGGATAGTCTGAACATTAGAAGCATAAGAATGTAGGAAGAAACTAAAACTCAAGTGGATATTTAAAAGCTGGAAATTACATATGATGTTCTCTACAATGCTGGTCCCAGAAATATAAGGAAAACTGAGGTAAAGTCAAAGCTATATTTAAAATTCTAAGTTTTACTCACTTGTTTTCTCCACCTGAAGCCCCATTCTACATTTATATTAGCAATTTAATATTTAAATTGCATATTTTACTGCATATCTACCTTCAGATTATTCTGAGCAACATCTATATGAGTGAGCAAGTAATCTCTTGAATTAGGATTCATAAGTTTATCTAGCATGTGCAATATACGTAATTCTCATATCCTTCAACTACTTTTTGGTATAACACATTTTCTCTTGATTAAGCATTAAAATTTGTGAGTTAACAAAGACTAAGATAAGTGGTAGCAAAAATATCTGAACCCAGATCCACTCCATACTATATCATAACATACAGGAAGAAAATGCTGAACAAAGGGTGTCCATAATTTTACCTCCCTAATCCTTGTTCATGCTCCGAACGTTTATTAAGAGCCTAGCAAGTGGCTGCAAAGTCCCCAAGCATGAGAATCTTTCCTCTGTTAATTATTTGTTTGTTAACTCTGCCTAACAACAGTTAAAAATCTGAAACTGCTTCTTCCTTTTTTGTTTGTTTTTTTCCCATCTGCCATCTGTGGTGGAGCTGCCACCAAAACGCAGATTTCGTAAAATCCCTTCCGGGGAAGACCACCACCCTCAAGGTTGAACCCTCAGACACAATAGAAAAGGTAAAGGCCAAAATCTAGGAATTCCTCCTAATCAGCAAAGACAGATCCTTGCTGGCCAGCAACTGGAAGATGGACGTACTCTGTCTGACTACAACATTCAAAAGGAGTCTACCCTTTATCTTGGGTTGAGACTTTGTGGTGGTGCTAAGAAAAGGAAGAAGTCTTATACCACTCCCAAGAATAATAAACACAAGAGAAAGCAGGTGAAGCTGGCGGTCCTGAAATACTACAAGGTGGATGAGAATGGCAAAATTAGTCACCTTTGTCGAGAGTGCCATTCAGATGGTGCTGGAGTGTTTATGGCAAGCTACTTTGACAGACATTATTGTGGCGAATAATAAACACAAGAGAAAGCAGGTGAAGCTGGCGGTCCTGAAATACTACAAGGTGGATGAGAATGGCAAAATTAGTCACCTTTGTCGAGAGTGCCATTCAGATGGTGCTGGAGTGTTTATGGCAAGCTACTTTGACAGACATTATTGTGGCAAATGTTGTCTGATTACTGCTTCAACAAACCAAAAGACAAGTAATTGCGTATGAGCTAATAAAAGACATGAGCTAACATCTTTTTTAAAACCCCCCCAAAAAACCAAAAACCCAAAACCTAAAAATGGCTATCGGAAACTGCTGATAAGATATTGAGAAAAAGTAAAATTTGATCAGAGAATGGAGGGGCATATAAAGACAAATTCTAACTAACATACGAGGGACTTAGCAACCACTTCTAATACTGGGCTGCAGAATTAAAAAAAAAAAAAAAAGACAGTTAGGTGGAGGATTCACTATCCCCAAAGCAGTCTCCCACTCAAAACACATGGCCCTATTTGGCACATATAATAGAGTCATAGACCTTTCATACTAAGATGGCAACACATGGCCAACATTCTTTAAAATATTAAGGTAGCCATTTTAGAAGGCACATTATCGATCGGCTATAACAAATGTCTGACAATAGGAAAATAATTAAATCAGTACATATGCATGATAGAATATATGACTAATGTGGCTGTTAAAAATGAAGGTTTTTCCAGCACTTTGGGAGGCCGAGATGGGCGGATCACGAGGTCAGGAGATTGAGACCATCCTGGCTAACACAGTGAAACCCCGTCTCTACTAAAAAAATACAAAAAACTAGCCGGGTGAGGTGGCGGACGCCTGTAGTCCCAGCTACTCGGGAGGCTGAGGCAGGAGAATGGCGTGAACTCGGGAGGCGGAGCTTGCAGTGAGCTGAGATCCAGCCACTGCACTCCAACCTGGGCGACAGACCAAGACTCTGTCTCAAAAAAAAAAAAAAAAAAAAAAAAAAAAAGAAGGTTTTGAGATACACCAAATGATTCAGAGATCTGATAAGCATGACGTTACCAGAAAAACCTAAATGTTGGTTAATGGTTCATATTGGATATTTCCAAAGCACTTTTCAACTACACATACTGCAGTCAGAATTTTTATAAAGGCAACCTACAAAGTAATAATAAAATATCAGGACTCTAGAATTTAAAAACATTTAAAGTAAAAAGTTTTCCTTACCCTTTTACTAAGTGAAATTGTTAGTTTGTATTTAAGCCACAACTGTATATATCTTAAAACTTAAAAGAGGATCCAATTACCTATGATCTAGGGTCTTAGTATTATTATTTAAACAGGCTGGAACTCTGAAAACAGGACCAAGAGAAAGGCAAAAATAGTTGCAACTTTTTTAAGATTGAGTTTTTGAGCAGTTTATTTATTTATTTATCTATTTATTTTGAGACAGTCTTGCTCTGTCACTCAGGCTGGAGTGCAGGGGGATGATCTCAGCTCACTGCAATCTCCGCCTCCTGCGTTCAAGTGATTCTTGTGCTTCAGCCTTCCGAGCAGCTGAGATTACCGGCATGCATGCGCCATCACATTGGCTACTTTTTGTATTTTTAGTAGAAATGGTGTTTCACCATGTTGGCTAGGCTGGTCTCAAACTCCTGGCCTCAAGCAGTCAGCCACCCTCAGTCTCCCAAAGTGCTGAGATTACAGGTGTGAGCCACCATGCCTGGCCTTTTAAGCAGTTTTCATTTACAGAAAAAAATTAGGCTGGGCATGGTAGCTCATGCCTGTAATCCCAGCACTTTGGTCGGTCGAGGTGGGCAGATCATCTGAGGTTAGGAGTTCAAGACCAGCCTGGCCAATATGGTGAAACCCCTTCTCTACTAGAAATACACAAATTAGCAGGGTGTGGTGGCTCACGTCTGTAGTCCCAGCTACTCAGGAGGCTGAGGCAGGGTAATAGCTCAAATCCAGGAGGCAGAGGTTGCAGTGAGCCGAGATCATGCCACTGCACTCCAGCCTGGGTGACAAAGCAAGACTCCGTCTCAAAAAAAAAAAAAAAAAAAAAAATTAGCAAAAAGAGCAAAGTTCCCATATCATCCCCACTCTTCCCTCAATTTCCCCAGTTCTTGTTTTTTTGGAAATTACAAAATTGCTTTTATTTAAATATCCCCAATTTTTAACATCTTGCATTAGTGTGGTATGTCTGTTAGACTAGATGAGCCAATACTGACATTTTGTTATTAACTAAAGTCCATAGTTTACATTAGAATTCACTCTTGGTGTCATACATTTTATAGGTTTTGACAGATGTCTAGGTGTATATCTGAGATAGCAGGTTCAGTTATGGGCCACTGGAATAAAGTGAGTATCACAATAAAGCAAGTCACACAATTTTTAGTTTCCCAGTATGTATAACAGTTATGTTTACACTGTTACACCGTAGCCTATTAGGTGTACAATAGCATTATGTCTAAAAACAATGTGCATACCTTGATTTTAAAACACTTTATTGCTAAAAAGTGGCAACAATCATCTGAGCCTTCTGCTAGCTGTAATCTTTTGACTGGTGGAGGGTCTTGCCTCAATGTTGATGGCTACTGACCAATCAGGGTGGTGGCTGCTGAAGGCTGTGGTGGCTGTGACAATTTCTTAAAATAAGACAATGAAGCTATTGATATCAGTGGATTCTTCCTTTCATGAAAGATCTCTCTGTAGCACACAGTCCTGTTTGATAGCATTTTACCCACAGGAGAACTTACAAAATGACAGTCAATTCTCTCAAACTCTGCTGCTGCTTTAACAACTAAGTGTATGTAATATTCTTTATCATCTGTGGTCATTTCAACAATGTTCACAGCATCTTCACCAGAAGTAGATTACATCTCAAGAAACTACTGTCTTTGCTCATACATAAGAAGGAACTCCTAGTTCATTAAAGTCTTATCATAAAATTGCAATAATATAGTCACATCTTCAGGCTCCTTTCTAATTCTAGTTCTCTTGCTATTTCTTTTTTTTTTTTTGAGACAGAGTCTCGCTCTTTCGCCCAGGCTGGAGTGTAGTGGCGCTATCTCGGTTCGCTGCAAGCTCCACCTCCTGGGTTCACGCCATTCTCCTGCCTCAGCCTCCCGAGTAGCTGGGACTACAGGCACCTGCCACCATGCCTGGCTAATTTTTTGTATTTTTAGTAGAGACTGGGTTTCACTGTGTTAGCCAGGATGGTCTCCATCTCCTGACCTCATGATCCACCTGCCTCGGCCTCCCAAAGTGCTGGGATTACAGGTGTGAGCCACTGTGCCCCACCTTCTCTTGCTATTTCTATCACATTTGCAGTTACATCCTCTACTGAAGTCTTGAATCCCTCAAAGTCACTCATGAGAGTTGGAATCAACTTCTTCCAAACTCCTGTTAAAGTTGATATCTTTACTTTCTCCCATTAATCACAAATCTTCTTGATGGAATCTAGGATGATGATTCTTTGCCCACATTCATCAGAGAAATCACTATCTATGGCAGCTACTGATTTACAAAACATTTCTCAAATAATAAGATGTGAAAGTCAAGATTACCCTTTGATCCACGGGCTGCAGAATAGACGCAAGCATGCAGGAAAACAACATCAATCTCTTTGCATATCTCCATCAGAGCTCTTGGGTGACCAGGTGCCTTGTCAATGAACAGTAACACCTTGAAAGAAATCTTTTTTTTCCTGAGCAGTGGGTCTCCACAGTGGGCTTAAAATATTCTGTAAATCATGCTATAAACAGATGTGCTGTCATCCAGGCTTTGTTGTTACATTTCTAGAGCACAGGCAGAGAAGCAGATGTAGCATAATTCTTAAGTACCCTGTGATTTTCAGTATAGTAAATGAGCACTGGCTTCCACTTAAAGTCATCAGCTGCATTAGCCCTAACAAGAAAGTCAGCCTGTCTTTTGAAGCTTTTAAGCCAAATATTGGCTTTTTCCCTCCAGCAATCAAAGTTCTAATGGCATCTTCTTACAACAGAAGGCTATTTTATTTACACTGAAAATCTATTGTTGGCCCTGCACAGTGGCTCATGCTTGTAGTCCCAGCACTTTGGGAGGCTGAGGTGGGAGGATCACTTGAGCCCAGGAGTTCAAGAACAACTGGGGCAACATGACGAAATCCCATCTCTACAAAAAATACAAAAATTAGTAGGCTGTAGTGGTATGTGCCTATAGTTCCAGCTACTTGGGGGGCTGAGGTGGGAGGATCGATTGAGCTCAGGAGATCAAGGCTGCAATGAGCCATGATCGTGCCACTGTACTCCAGCCTGTGTTACAGAAGGAGACCCTGTCTTGAAAGAAAGAAAGAAAGAAAGAAAGAAAGAAAGAAAGAAAGAAAGAAAGAAAGAAAGAAAGAAAGAAAGAAAGAAAAAGAAAGAAAGTGATCTACTGTTAGTATAGCTACTTTCATCAATGATCTTAGCTAGATTTTCTGGATCACTTGCTGTAGCTTCCCTATCAGCACCTGCTGCTTCACCTCGAAATTTTTTGTTGTAGAAACAGCTTTTTCCCTTAAACCTCATGAACCAACCTCTGCGAATCTCCAGCTCCCCTTCTGTAGCTTCTGTACTTCTCACAGTCTTCACAGAATTGAAGAGAGTTAGGGCCTTACTCTGGATTAGGCTTTGGCTTACGGGAATGTTGTGGCTGGTTTGACCTATCCAGACCGCTCAGACTTTCTCCATATCAGCAATAGGGCTGTTTTGCTTTCTTATAATTTGTGTTTTCCATGGAGTGGCACTTCTAATTTTCTTCAAGAGCTTTTCCTTTGCATTGACAACTTAGCTGTTTGTCACAAGAGGCCTCTCTCAGCTTTCAATATGTTTTTCACACTAAGCTTAATCATTTCTAGCTTTTGATTTTGTTTCTGTTTTTTTTCAGAGACAAGTCTCACTCTGTTGCCCAGGCTGGAGTGTAGTGGTGCAATCATAGCTCACTGTAATCTGAAATTCATGGGCTCAAGTGATCCTCCTGCCTCGGCATCCCAAGTAGCTAGGACTACAGGTGCGTACCACCATGGCCAGATAATTTTTAAAATTTTTTGTAGAGACAAGGTCTTGGTACGTTGCCCAGGCTGGTCTTGAACTGCTGGCTTCATGTGATGACCTCAGCCTCCCAGAGTGCTGGGATTACAGCCACTGTGCCCAGCCCTCTAGCTTTCAATTTTAAGTGAGGAACAGGTGACTCTTCCTTTCATGTGAACACTTAGAGCCCATTCTATGGTTATTAACCAGCCTAATTTCAATACTGTTGTGTCTCACGAAATAGTAAGACCCTAGGAGAGGGAGAGAGACAGGAATATGGCTGGCTGGCGAAGCAGTCTGAACACACACCATATTTATGTATTTAGTTTTTATCCTCGCCAAGCCGGTCAGCATGCACTGCCCAAGCCGGCAAGGCTCACATGCCACATTTACAGATTCAGTTTGACTTTGTGGTGCCCCAAAACAATTATTACTGTGGCATTTAAAGATCACTGATCACAGATCACCATAATAAATATAATAATTTTTAAAATATAATAATTTTTAAATTTGAAATATTGCAAGAATTCCCCAAATGTGACAGACACAAAGTGAACACATGCTATTGAAAAATACGGCACCAATAGACTTGCTCAATACAAGGTTGCCACAAACCTTCAATTTGTAAAAAAAAAAAAAAAAAAAAAAAAAAGTATTATCTTCAAAGTGTAATAAAGTGAAGTACAATAAAACAAGGGATGCTTGTACAATGGCATGTATTTACCACTACAATATCACATGGAATCACAGTGTTGCTGCTCCAAACCTCTGTGCTCCATTTATCCCAACCTCCTTTCCCGTGCAACCTGTGGCTGTTTTCCAGCTACCATAGCAGAGTTGATTAGTTGGAACAGAAATGTATGCCCTGCAAAGCCCAAAATTTAATATCTGGCTCTTTACAGAAAAAGTTTGCTGACCACCAAGATATGGAAACAAGCTAAGAGCCATCAGTGGGTAAATGGATAAAGAAAATGTGGCAGAGATACACAATGGAGTACTATTCAGCCTTTAAAAAGAAGAAAATTCTGTCATCTGTGACAAATGAAGAAACCTGGAGGACAGTATGCTAAATGAAATGAGCCAGGTATGGAAAGAAAAACACTGCATAGTCTTACATGCAGTCTTACATGTGGAATTTCAAAAAGTAGAGCTTACAGGAGTAGAAAGTAGAGTGGTGGTTACCAGAGGCTAGGGATGCAGCCGGGGCAATTGGATGGGAGGGGAATATGTCAAAGGGTACAAAGTTCTGGTTAGACAGGAGGAATAAGTTCCCAAGATCTATTGCACAGCATGGTGACTATAGTTAATAACTCTGGGCATGCTGGCTCACAACTGTAACTCCAGCACTTTGGGAGGTCGAGGCGGAAGGACTGCTTAAGCTCAGGAGTTCGACACCAGCCTGGGCATGAAGCAAGACCTTGTCTCTACTACTAAATAAAATAATAATAACCCGGGCATGGTGGTGTGTGCCTGTAGTCCCTGCTACTCAGGAGGCTGAGGCAGGAGGATCACTTGAGCCCAGGGAGTCAAGGCTGTAGTGAGCCATGACTACACCACTGCACTCCAGCCTGGGTGACAGAGCAAGACCCTGTCTCAATAATAATAATAATACTAATAATAGTGTATTATATATTTTGAAATTCCTAAATGAGTAGACTTTAAATGCTCTCATTACAAAGAAATGATAAGTATATGAGGTGATGGATATATTAATTAGCCTGACTTAATCATTCTAACATGTATACATGTATCATAACATCACATTATACCTCACAAATATACAGTTATTATTTGTCAATTAAAAATAAAATTAAAAAAGAAAGTTTGCTATTTGCTGACCCCTGGATGAGACAATCGTTAAGGTTCCTTCCAGTTTCCAAAAGCAACTACGAGAATTGACTTACCATTAAAGACAGTGTACCATATGTCCACACAAACACTTGTACACGCATGTTCACAGTAGCATTATTCACTATACCCAAAAGATGGAAACAACTCAAATGTCCATCAACTGAGTGGATAAACAAAATGTGGTGTTTCATGCAATTCCTTTTCTGGCCATAAAAAGGAAAGAAGTACTGAAACATGCTACAAGATGGATGAATCTTGAAAACACTATGACAAGCGGAAGCAGCCAGACATAAGAGGGTCTATGTTGGGTGATTCCACTTATATGAAACATCCAGAATAGGCAAATTCAAAGAGATAGAAAGTAGAAGAATAGTGGCTCTGGGTTTAAAGGATGGGGCATGGGGAAGTGTTTCTTTTTGTAAGGTGAAGATGTTTTAAAATTGTGGCAATTGTTGCACAAGTCTGTGAATAAGCTAAAATCAAACAAATAAGCTAAAATCACTGAATTATACTCTTTAAATGAGTAAATTGTATATTAATAGTATGCAAATTATACATCAGTAAGGATTTTTTAAAATTTATTAATTTTTTTTTAAGGCTCTGGCTCTGTTGCCCAGGCTGGCATGTTCTTGGCTCACTGCAGCCTCTCAGGCTCAAGCGATTCTCCCACCTCAGTCTCTTCCTGAGTGGCTGGGTCCACAGGCATGTGCCACCACCATACCTGGCTAATTTATTTGTATTTTTTGTAGAGACAAGTCCTCCCTGTGTTGCCCAGGCTGATCCAAACTCCAGGGCTCAAGCCTTTCAAAGTGTTCAGATTACAGGCGTAAAACACCACGCCCGGCCAGGAGGGAACTTTTCACTATACATCCTATTGTGCCTTTTTAACTCTTTTATGTTAAGAATGTATTTTTTTTTTTAAGTAAGGGGGAAAAATGACATATAACAGAAGAATCTGGTTAAGAATTAGTTTTATCAACAACTCGGTAATGAGAAGAAAATTTGTTTTTTTGTTTTTGTTTTTGTTTTGAGACAGAGTCTCTCTCTGTCGCCCAGGCTAGAGTGCAGTGGCAGGATCTCGAATCACTGCAAGCTCCGCCTCCCGGGTTCACGCCATTCTCCTGCCTCAGCCTCCCGAGTAGCTGGGACTACAGGCGTCCGCCATCACGCCCGGCTAATTATTTTGTATTTTTAGTAGAGACGGGGTTTCACCGTGTTAGCCAGGATGGTCTTGATCTCCTGACCTCGTGATCCGCCCGCCTCGGCCTCCCAAAGTGCTGGGATTACAGGCGTGAGTCACCGTGCCCAGCCCGAAAATTTGTTTTTTAAAAAATGGTATTTGTCAGGAATTGGACGTTTTTCACTTATGCACACATTTTTTTCCCCAAGATTCCGTAAACCTTGCATCGATTCAGAAGAGAACCTGGATTTATACAGCCTGTGAGTGAGAATGGTGTAAGTCTTGAGTGTGGGCTTTGTCCCAGATTTGTTTGGATTCTTAGGAAAACCAGGCTTTAAAAGGATTTATACTGAGAAGTAAAGAACCCAAAAGTTAAAAATGGAAAACTCTGGTCTGAAGAAAATGTTCTATGGAGGTTTAGCACAGGTCTTAAAAAAGAGAAAAAAAAGTTCACATCCTTTGACCCAGTAATTTCAGTTACAAGAATCATGTCCAGGATAAAAACAAACCAAAAACATAACTGAGGAAGAACAATGCAAAACTGTTTATTACAGAATGAATTCTAACAAAACTAAACAGGAAACAACTGACTAATGT